CGTGGCTCGACAGGGCGCCGACGCCGCCGACATCGGGGAGCAGATCTAAGGATGATGATGCGATTGGGGAAGTCAGCATGCTGAAGGAGATGACGTCCACAATGTTGCTCGACCTAGACCACGTCGTAGACATGACTGGGAAGCTCAAAGCCAGGATGAAAGATAATCAGGAGCAGGTGGTCGAGACTGATCAGGCGCTGATGCCGTTCTCGACGTTCGGGGGCATGTACCAGCATAACAAAGCGTACGTGTTGCAGCAGGTTGTCAACCACACTGACTTGTCGGCCGCGCAAGTTTCTAGCGCCGAGAACGCGGAGCCAGGGGTCGTGAACGAGATGCTCCAGTTCGCCACGCAGATCCCAGGCTACGTGAAGATGAAGCCCGGGGTCCGCGGTCAGCCAGTGATGACCAGGCTCATCGAGGCGAGGATCGCAGTTTGCGGCAACGGGCTCAAGGGGGGGGCGGTGAAGAGCTGGGCGAAGCCAGACGGCAGCGTCAATTGGCGCGTGGCGGGTTGCCACGACCCCTTGTTCAACGCTGAGGGGGAGTTGTGTAAGATCATGCACTTGAGCGGCGATGAAGTCGATGTCAACCCAGATGAGACTGCCGTGTCGAAGAAATTCAGGATGCAGGATAACCACTTGGACTACGTCGCCGCCTTCATCCTGAAGGGCAGCCCTCCCGTGAAGACCCACACCTTCTTCAAGACAGGCAAAAGCGGCCCTTACAGGATATTCCAGTTCTCGGCCAGTAGCAAGGGCTCCCTGGCTGCCGTGGATGGCGCGACTGCTGGCTATCATTCCGCGCGCTCGAAGGCCATGGCGTCGTCGAGCGCATCATCCGACGTCGACGCGGCCGCGAGCGTTGCCATGACGGCCCAGGGGGCGGTGCAGGCGGATAGGGGGAAGAGGGCGGGGGAGCAGGCGTCAAAGGTGTTGCGCGCCAAGAAGCAGAAGTCGCAGGTGGAGATTTAAGCTGCGAGCTTTGAGTTGGTTCGGACCGTGAGTCGTCGAGGCGCTTTTCAATTGCCCTGGCACGGGGGCGATTCGGCAGAGCTTGCATGACTGACAGGTGCTGCCAGGGCGATTGGCTTTCCTTACTGGATGTGAAACTCCGTATTTAAGTGTCCTCAGTGTGTTTTGCTCGTTCACTTGTCTGTCAAGTGGTTCTCTTGGGGGGCGTCCGCAGTGACGCCGAAGGTCTCGACGGCCTTGCGCCGAATCTGGCGTGGCCCAGCGCTGCGGTCAGTCAGCGCTGCGTGCCGCAATCACTACTCGAACTGGGCAGCGCGACCTCCGAGTTCAGCGATTTTGCCAGTTCGCAGGCCCTTCTCATTCAGTGGTGTCCGCGTCTATTCTCATCCAGTTTCCTATTGCACACAACCCATTCCCACTTCCTCGTGCCCATTCGACCACCGCCAGCTTTCCCGCGTGCAATCTGGAGGTGCCTTTTCGGCGTCGGACTGCTGCCATAGTGTTCGCGCACACGCCACGGGGCAACGCATGCCGTCTTATATCGAAGTGTGCCTTGTGTGTGCGTGGTGTCCAGGAGGCCTTTTGTTTGTGGATGCTGTATCCCTTGCATGGCGTGCCTTGTGCGCAGCACGTTGCGAGTCCTCCTGTTCGTGAGCTCTCAGGCGGGCGACTTGCATGGCGTGCGTCGTAGGTGACACGTTACATGGGGACTCTGGGTGTTGGGTTCACCGTCTGTGGTGGCTGCCTCCCTCCCCCGCCACCGCCGCTCCCGCGGTGGCACCCCCAACGGGCCCCCGACGGTGACCCTGGACTTTCTTGGGCGGCATCGGGCTGCTGTCTTCATCTTCTGAATCCCCCCCCCCCCCCCCCCCCCCTCCCCCTCTCCCCACCCCCCCCCCTTCCTCCCCCCCCAAAGAGGGGTCCCAAGAGGGCCATATGAGGCTCCCAAGAGGGCCCCAAGAGGCTCCCACGCGGGCCCCAAGAGGGCTTCCAAGTCCTGCAATATAGTTTAAGTGCTCCCTCAGACCTTAGGGCCCTCCCTAGGAGGGCTCCGAGAGGGCCCCGATACGCTCCCAACAGGGCCCCAAGAGTGGTCACGCGAGATACGTTTCGCGTGACATATTGGGGGAGCCTCTTGTGGCCGTGTGTGGCCCCTCTTGGAGCTCTCTTGGGGCCGTCTCGGGGCCCTCTTGGGGCACTATTTGCTGCCCGCCCCTCGCGCCTCCTCCGTCGCTGCCACAGCCCATTTGAGCAGGGCAGGCTGGTAGGAGATTTCGTCTGCAGCACCTCGTCGGCCCGCTTGCTTTGATCTCTCGCAGCACGATGGCCGCCCCAGCGGGCGGCGTTGAGGTCATCGCTGCGACGGACGTCGCAGCTGCTCAGCCAGCGCGTGAGTTAGCTACGATCGTGGAGATCGGGGACTTGGTCCACGCTGACTTCGACGGCGAGGGGACCCACGTCACGAACATGCTCACCCAGGAGAGCAAGTGCATGCCTGGGAACGTTGCGGTTTACCTCGATGACAATCGCATCAACGGCGTCATTGTCAACATGGATGAGGATACGCTGGGGTGTGTCGACTTGGATCTCGTCCTGGCGCAGCGCATCGCCAAGCATGATACCACAGGGGGCCTCTACGTGATCGAGCAGGGCCGCACCCCCTTTGCCGCTCAGCATGCTTTTCTGCAGGAGCAGGGAAGGGCTTGCGAATATTCTCGTTGGCAACACCAGCGCTTCCCTCATCATGGGATTGCCGGTGTTTTTTTGTGTTAAACAATTCCGCGGCTTCAAGCAACGCATCTACTGGCGGCTGAAGTCGATGTACAGAGCCCTTCGCCTGAGCTGCTTCCAGGGCCAGTCGCGTCGTCGGGTGCCCCGTTCGATGGACTCGTGGAAGGAAGGGATGATGAAGATATTTGGGCGCGGTGACTTCTTTGATTTTGGCAACCATTCCACGACGTCTGCCAGGGAGGCCTACCTCCCGAAGCACCAGAGGTGCTTGCCAGGGCCGTCAGTCAGCACGTGCGGCCTCCTTGCGATGCTATTTCGGTGGTCGGGGAGACCGCGCGCGCGGCGGACTCGTCGGCGCAGCGCCTCGAGCAGCGCGCAGAGACATCACCGAGCAGCTGTTGCGTTTCTTGAGGGGCTGCGACGGCATCAAGTTCATGGCCGAGCTCGTCGACAAGTGGGAGTGCAAGTGGTCCAGGACCCAGATGAACGCGGGCAGCCAGCCGACGGTCGACATCCACGTGCAGGGTGGCATCATCAACTGCCAGGACGTCTTCGATGGCAATCGGAGGCGCCTCTCCTCAGGGGTCTCTTCAGGGGCCTCAGGGGCCGCGGGATTACGGGGGCGAACGCGTTCGCCCCCGTGCCCCCAGCGGCGCAGATTGAAGGAGGCGTGCTTGTGGGCCCCCGAGGCTCGGAGGGCGCAGCGTCTGCGAGAAGTGGGTCGCGGCCTTGCGTGGCCTGGCGTCCGCGACGTCGCCTGAGACGTCGCTCGTGGGCTTCCTCGCCCACCGTGCGGAGCATGGCGCGTTGGACTCGCTATTCGGCCAGGTGGTGTTCCAGAGTTCGCTCGTGATCGAGAGCAGCAGGTTGAGGTCGAGCCGCGGCCCTGGCAATCCGCCCCCTCCCGAAGGAAAGCGCGCCCTGGCATGTGCAGACGATGAGTCGGACAACCTCAGCGGGGCCAGTTTGGAGGGCATGTTGTACTCTCACATCTCCCACTCCCAGGTGCTCACCGCGCCCCGCAGCGCCGTCGGCTTCCCTGCGGACAAGGGCCTCGTCAAGGGGGTAAACCTCCAGAACACCGTCGCCATCGCGCCCACCTCGTACGCGGCCGCGTGCTGCCCGCAGGCAGGGGCGGCAGGCCTGAAGGTGTCGTCTTGGGCTTCAGCTGTCGGGGGTCGGGGGTCTGAGTGACAGAGCAGGCGGGATCGCTTAGTGCACAAACTCACGCTGGGGAAATGGTCACTAAGCGGGCGATTCGCCCGATCTACAGACCAAGTAGCTCTGCGGGGCGCCAGATGGTTGCAGGGCTGCATCCTAGTCCGCCCTCTCGCCCCGCCTCTTCCGTCTGAAGTCGGTTGGCGTTGCGCCTCAGGCGGGGCCAGGGGGGCCCACCTTCTGTTTTGCGTTGCCGTCTCGGGCCCCTTCCGGGCACTCTTGGAGCCCTGGGGGGAACCCACGAGCGTCCAACGACAGTCCCAAGAGGGCCCCGAGAGGGCCCCGATAGGGGCCCAAGGGAGCCACGCAAGTTTGGGCAGTCAAACGCCATGAAACGACCAAAGTGACTGAGACAATTTCTCAGCCACTTTTGGTTTAAAGTTGCAGAGCAAGACAGGGCGAGTTGTTGTTTTGGTTTGCCCTCTCGGGTCCTCTTAGGCCCTCTTCGGGGCCCCTGGGGGCCCTAAGAGGAGCCCTAGATCGGTCCCAAGAAGGCCCGATGGGGGCTCAAGAGGGCCGCGAGTTAGGCCAGTGAAACGCCATGAAAAGACAAACGTGGCTGAGAAAATGTCTCAGCCACTTTCGGTTCAAAGCTGCAAAGCACGGCGGAGCGAGTTGTTGGTTTGTTTTGCCCTCTCGGGCCCTCGCGGGGCCTTCTCGTGGCGTCCTCGGGCCCGCTTGGGCCCCGCCAGCACCCGTCTCGCTTGCACGCCGCTTGGCCCCCCTTCCCCCCCCCCCCCCTCCCAGGTTTGCAAGGAGGCCGACCTCGAGGATTGCGAGGGGGGCCAGGCTGGCTGGCCAGAAGCGCCGTCCTTCGGCCGTGCAGGAGTCGAGGGGACAGATGGCGAACAGGCAGCGGGCCTGGGTTGGGAGGAGCAGGCTCGGCATGAAAGCGTTATCGTGGAGGCCCATCAAGAGGCGCAGGGCTGCTGCGAAGAAGTGGCTGGTGAACTTGGACAACCAAGCCAGGGTCACCCATCGGAAGGAGGGCCTCCAAAATCAATCCGTGATGGGAGGATTGGAAGATCTGGCCCTTCGCTGCGATCCCGATGGACCTGGGCTCGGATGGCGTGTCAGGTGTTTTCGCTGCCCAGTGCAAGTGTAAGCTGGCCGTCGAGCCCATGCCCGACCCGAGCCACTGCAGCAACAGGGCAATGGTCCAGATGTTGAAGCACGTGGGGCTCCACCCTCTCGCACTGGTCTGGTTTATCCACGTGAACCTCCTCCATGGGCCCGACAAGGACGACACGGGGTTGACTCAGTTCCGTGAGCATCTCTCGAACCTGTTCACTAAATGCACGCCAGCTGGCGCGCCGCTGTTTCAGCATTATGTCATGCGCTTGGCCAAGGCCTTGGAGCGCATGAAGGTGGACATGAGCGCCTCGGAGCCCTTGGAAGACCAGATTTGGCAGTACATGAAGAATAGGGCTCGCTTTCTCCGCGAGGGCAAGATGGCGACCACGCGCCGCTTCCAGGCCGTGACCGCGTCGCTCGCCAAGAACATTGCCCAGGGGCCGATCCGCGAATTCGAATCCCTCTTCGTGGCGCTGGAGGAAGACCTCCTCCATTCGAAAGTGTTCGTCGAGAAGTTCGCCAAGAAGTTGGGGCCCGACGCTCGCGGGGAAGGTGTTCATGATTTGAAAAAGTCGGGGCCCCTCTTGGGGCCCATGGTCTCCACGGGGCGCCGCCCATCGTCGGGGGCAGCCGTCGTGGGTCACCATTGGGGGCCGCTGCTGGGGGTCGCCGCCGCGTGCCGACGCGCGGGGGAAGGGGGGGCTTTAGGGGCCGAGCCCGCTGCCGATGTGTCGAGCGCTGCGGGCTTGGCGCCACGCCTTGGGGCGTTGAGTTCGCCTTGGGCGGCGGCCCCCAATGGTGGGTCGCGACGGTTGTTCCGGCGGTAACTCCTGGCGATGGTGTTTTTATTATTTCTTATCGTTCCAGGTTCGACGACTCCTGGGAAGTTCACTTTCGAGGCGAAGCTCTTGAGGACTTGCAGCCGGAATATGGTCGGCGCGAGGGTCGACTTCTTGATCGAGCCAGACAATGAGCAGATATTCAACATCATCCCCCACTGCGGCAACGTGATGCTCGAATGGGACACGGGGGCGAGGCGTTTATGTAAGAACTCTGACGGGGTCGAGGAGTGGTTGACGAAGCAGTGCCTCGGCGACTTCATGAAGTACGTATCCTCCATCAGCCACGCCATGAGCCAGCGCCGCCCCCTCCAGGACTGCATGTTCATGACGGGGAGGGCTGGTAATATCGCGGCGCTCAAGAAAAATCCTGCCTTCGTCGTCGACGAGGATGAGGCTGCGAACCTCTTTGGGCAGTGCGTTTGGCACCTGGTCGTCGAGACTCTCATGCCGGGCCTGCACTTGGTCAGGGGCTGGCCGTGGTCCATGACCAGCGTCCTCGGCACGGACGAGGAGCAGAGGAACGCCTGCATGAAGTTCGCGCAGGACCTCCGCAATTTTCAGCTCTTGAGGGGTAAGCCAGACAAGAACCACATGGAGCAGGCGATGTTCGACAAACACCAGTTCCAGAAGATGTCGGTGCAGCAGCTCGTGGCCGCCTTCGAGAGCGCCGATCGCGGCGCTCCAGCGCGGTTGGCCGACTTGCGGGAGGTCGCGCGGCAGCGCGCGCGGGTTGCGCGCCCCACCGCCCTCATCGAGGAGATCATCGGCACTCAGAAGACCATCCAGACATTCAAGCAAGGCAACAAGTACACCAAACCCCAGAGAGCCATGGGCATCGTAATCAAAAAGAACTTGCTCTCGAAGAAGTACGAGTACAAGGTTCCCCCCACAGACATCCCGAGAGATAGCAAGAGCGAGCACGTATTGAAGGAGTGCTTCACCAGTACTGTGGCGAGCAGGACTCTCCCCTGGAAGGACATTGTAACGACTAAGCAGCATGCCGAGTACTACAGCCCTAAGGCCGATAACTTCAACCACACGTGCGCCGACTTGGACCTGCTGGCCGAGGTAGTTCGGGTTGGCGACTGGACCATGCTTGATCGGGCTTGGACCCGGGAGCTTGCGAAAGTGGAGCACAACACCATCGTCCGCAAGGCCGCTCCAGAGGGCATGCCAGCCGAGGCCACCTGGTACAGGATCCTCTTCCAATATCTGAAGTCGGCTGTCTTGGCGTGGCCTGGCACCGTCGGGGCTTGCGAATGACACGAGGTGTTTTGCCCACGCGAAGGACCTTTACACGCCGACTCACATCCACTTGGATTCCCTCGACATGGCAGCAAACACGTTCACTTGGAGGTCGTGCGCGTGGCAGGTCGCGAATCTGCCCGACGCCGCCATCGCAGACGTGAGGATCATGGCGATATTAGATTCAGACTCGGACCAGACCTCGATCAAAGTTGCTGCGATGAATGCTTTCTGGAGGCTCAAGCTTTCTTCCGTGGTCCAGTTCTCGGAAGCAGCAGGCCACCCAGTGGATGATGACGCCAACTTGTGCGAGGCGCTCCGCCAGAGCATCGCGGGCGTCATGGGGTGCAACGCCACTGACGCCATGAAGTATGTAAAGAAGCGGCTCGCGGCCAATGGCATCATGACGCGTCTAGCTGGCAACATCATGGACGTCGACGAGGCGCTGGCTTGCTTAGACCGCAACGATGCCCAGCTGCTTCAGAAAGACCAGACGGATCACGTCGACATGGTGTCTGAGCAGGCCGAGTTCGAGCGCGCCTGCAAGACGAAGGCCTGGGATGTCAAGGCCATTGCCGAGCCCAAGGCCAAGCCGGCAGCAAAAGCGAGGTCGCGCCGAAGACCACCCCCCCGCCTGTTTTCCCCCAGAGCGAGCTCAAGACGCGCATCCCTCCAGGGGCCTCCGTGTGGCGGGCCCGCGGCGAGGGCAGCTGGGCTGGCCACGCGCCGCCGCGGGCCCGCTGCTCGGCCAAGGAGTCGGATCGCGGCAAGGAGGGCGCAGCACGTGAGATTATACGTAAGTTGCGGCATCATCATTGTGACATAGAGGTGCTGTCCTTGACGGAGGCCCCTGTCAGGGGCTTGTTCACGGATGCTGAGATCAAGGCGCGCCTTGAGAGTTTGAAGAAGTGGTTTCGAATTCAATGTGCGATGCCCCGGCCCCCCCGCCCCCCCACCAAACACCAACCATATGATATTGAAATTGTCTTGGGAAGGGGAGGGCACGGGCGGAGGGCGAGGGGGGGGGGGGGGGCGATGGAGGGGGGGGGGGGGGGGGGGAGGGGGATTAGGAGGGGGAAGGGGAGAGATGGGGGGAGGCAGTTCAGAGAGGAGGCGCAAGAGAAGTACCAGGAGGAGGAGGGGGAGGGAGGAGGAGGACCCCCAACCAGGCCCCCCCTCCTGTTTTTCTTATTCTTCCTACTCCTCCTCCCTCCTCCTCTTCTCCCCCCCCCCTCGCCCCCCCCCCCCCCCATTGCATTGCAGGGCTTTGATTGCGGGGTCTCTGGTGGTATTTGCGCGGCCCTCTGCAGGGCCATTCCAGAGGCAGTTGAAGGGCCTGCCAGGGCCTTATACTAAGGGGCTTTGGGAGGTTTTGCAAGCCATTCAAGGGGGGAGGGCGTGGGGGCCGTGTGACAGATAAGATGGGAGATGCTCCCAGCTCGAGTTCTCTTGACCCCCACTGGGCGGTCACATGTTGCGCATGCAGGCTCGCCTCCGCGAGTGCACAATGTGCGAGGGGGTCTTGGACCTCGCAGGCCTCAGGCAGCCATGCCCAGAGGCGCAGCGTCGAAGACGCATGCACTTTCGATGGGGTGCATTCCGCTGGCCAGGCGCGCGCGCGCGCGACACGTTGTCTGTGCTCTCGGAATCGAATGGTTTTGTTTCCCAATCATCCTGTGGCGTTGGGTCCTCGTTTTGAAGAGACGGTGCCCCGCGTCCTTCTCCTCCTCCTCTCCTCTCCCTCCCCCTCCTCCCCCCCTCCCCCTTGCCTCGGCCCTCCGCATGTCTCTGTTTCGGCACATCCCTCACGCGCTCCGTGGCCCCATGGGGAGCTCCACCGAAGGCCCCAGTGGCAGGGCCCGCATGGCGGCTCCGCATTTTGGCGCACCCCTCACACGGTTCGTGGCCCCATAGGGAGCTCCACCGAAGGCGCCAGAGGCAGGGCCAGCATGGCTGCCCCGCATTTGGGCGCACCCCTCACACGGTTCGTTGCCACATAGGCAGCTCCACCGAAGGCCCTGGTAGCAGGGTCCGCATGGCGGCCACGCATTTTGGCGCACCCCTCACACGGTTCGTGGCCCCATAGGGAGCTCAACCGAAGGCCCCAGTGGCAGGGCCCGCATGGCGGCACCGCATTTTGGCCCGCCCCTCACACTGTTCGTGGCCCCATAGGGAGCTCCACCGAAGGCCCCAGTGGCAGGGTCCGCATGGCGGCCCCGCGCCATTTTGGCGCACCCCTCACACGGCTCGTGGCCCCATATGGGAGCTCCACCGAAGGCCCTGGTAGCAGGGTCCGCATGGCGGCCCCGCCCCATGTTGGCGCACCCCTCACACGGTTCGTGGCCCCATAGGGAGCTCCACCGAAGGCCCCAGCGGCACGGTCCGCATGGCGGCTCCGCATTTTGGCGCACCCCCTGCACGGTTCGTAGCCCCATAGGGAGCTCCACCGAAGGCCCCAGTGGCAGGGTCTGCATGGCGGCCCCGCCCCATTTGGGCGCACCCCTCACACGGTTCGTGGCCCCATAGGGAGCTCCACCGAAGGCCCCAGTGGCAGGGTCCGCATAGCGGCCCCGCCCCATTTTGGCGCACCCCTCACACGGCTCGTGGCCCCATAGGGAGCTCCACCGAAGGCCCCAGGCAGGGTCCGCATGGCGGCCCCGCCCCATGTTGGGGCACCCCTCACATGGTTCGCGGCCCCTCCACCGAAGATGATGCCCACAATTGCGGTATTAACAATTGCTTATGGTTGGGTCTTTCGCCAGGCTAATTTTCCCCCACAGGGTTCGGGGATGCCTTGGCCTTTCCGTCTCCCTCCAGATCCACCCCCCCCCTGGCGCTGTCTCGAGGAAGGCTTGCGTTTCTGGCTTCTGTGCGACGGGTGCCGCGCTGCAGGCGCGATCAGGGAATGGCGGGTGACTGGGGACTGCAATGAGGGAATGGGCTGGGATACCTGCGAGCTTGCGAGGCATTCCGCTGCAGCCTGGATCAACTTGAACCCGGCGCCCTGCCAGGCCGCGCCGCGTTGACTCAGGCACAACCCCACATCGCCATCGCATTATCGTTGTCATCTCCTGCCCCCCTCCCGCCATCGGCGCCCCCAGCGTCCGCCCGACGATCGCTAGGGGCTCGGGTAGATGATGCATGGGTGGTGGGGCGGACTTATCTCAGGCGCTTCGCGCGACGCCGCACGCGCCCGCGCCTCGACTGCAAACGGGCGCGGGCAGGGGGCAGGGGGCGGGAGGGCGGCGCACAGGACGAGGGCGGAGGGCCGGGGGGAGGAGGGCGGATGGGGCAGGGGGAGACGCCCCCCCCACTCCTCCACCTCCCCCCCCTTCCCTCCTCCTCCTCCTCCTCCTCCTCCCTCTCGTCCTTCTACAATTACACAATATGAAAATACTCGCCCACTTCCCCTGATGGCGCCCCGAAGATATCCGACACCCCCCCGCGTATCGGTTTTTACCTAACAGCGAAGACTGATAGGTTTCTAGTTGACTCAAAAGAGCTCACAGATCACTCCACAGGGGGGCCCGGGCAGGCGTTGGGAGTTGCCGGGCGGCAGGGGGCCCCGCTCGTTTTTCACCAACAGTCACACACTTCGTGCTCTTCGAGTTCCCAGAACTCCATTCCCAGGCTCATTCTGAATAACCGGATGCAACAGTCACACACTTCGTGCTCTTCGAGATCCCAGAACGCCATTCCCGGGCCACATTCTGGAGGGCCGGATGCAACAGTCACACACTTCGTGCTCTTCGAGTTCCCAGAACTCCATTCCCGGGCCACATTCTGGAGGGCCGGATGCAACAGTCACACACTTCGTGCTCTTCGAGTTCCCAGAACTCTATTCCCGGGCCACATTCTGGAGGGCCGGATGCAACAGTCACACACTTCGTGGTCTTCGAGTTCCCAGAACTCCATTCCCGGGCCACATTTTGAATGCCCGGAGCCAACTGTAGGCCACTTCGTGGTCTTCGAGTTCCCAGAACTCCATTCCTGGGCATGATTTTGAATGCCCGGAGCCAACTGTAGGCCACTTCGTGTTCTTCGAGTTCCCAGAACTCCATTCCCGGGCCACATTTTGAATGCTGAGGCAGGCTGAGGCTGAGGCTGAGGCAGGCTGAGGCTGAGGCAGGCTGGCTGAGGCTGAGGCTGATGCAGGCTGAGGCTGAGGCAGGCTGAGGCTGAGGCCGAGGCTGAAGGCAGACTGAGGCTGAGGCTGAAGCAGGCTGAGGCTGAGGCTGAGGCAGGCTGAGGCTGAGGCAGGCTGAGGCTGAGGCTGAGGCAGGCTGAGGCTGAGGCTGTGTCTGTGACTGCCGTTGCCACTGCGACTGTCATCGCGAATGCGACTACGACTGCGAGAACAGCACAATTCTACAACTGGATTGTCATCTGAATCTTAAGGGGAATGCTTCCAGATATGCTCCTACACATCGCTGTTAGGTTGCTTTGCCGGGATAATTTTACCTAACAGCGAAGACTGATAGGTTTCTAGTTGACTCAAAAGAGCTCACAGATCACTCCACAGGGGGGTCCGGGCAGGTGTTGGGAGTTGCCGGGCGGCAGGGTGCCGGGCTCGTTTTTCACCAACAGTCACACACTTCGTGCTCTTCGAGTTCCCAGAACTCCATTCCCAGGCCTCATTCTGAATCCCGGATGCAACAGTCACACACTTCGTGCTCTTCGAGATCCCAGAACGCCATTCCCGGGCCACATTCTGGAGGGCCGGATGCAACAGTCACACACTTCGTGCTCTTCGAGTTCCCAGAACTCCATTCCCGGGCCACATTCTGGAGGGCCGGATGCAACAGTCACACACTTCGTGCTCTTCGAGTTCCCAGAACACACTTGCCCGGTGCCACTTCTCTTCGAGTTCCCAGAAGTCCATTCCCGGGCCACATTTTGGATGCCCGGAGCCAACTGTAGGCCACTTCGTGGTCTTCGAGTTCCCAGAACTCCATTCCTGGGCATGATTTTGAATGCCCGGAGCCAACTGTAGGCCACTTCGTGTTCTTCGAGTTCCCAGAACTCCATTCCCTGGGCCACATGCTGAGGCAGCTGCTGAGGCTGAGGCAGGCTCTGAGGAGGCTGAGGCAGGCTGAGGCTGAGGCAGGCTGAGCTGAGGCTGAGGCAGGCTGAGGCTGAGGCTGAGGCTGATGCAGGCTGAGGCTGAGGCTGAGGCTGAGGCAGGCTGAGGCTGAGGCTGAGGCCTGAGGCAGGCTGAGGCTGAGGCTGAGGCTGAGGCAGGCTGAGAGGCTGAGGCTGAGGCTGAGGCTGAGGCTGAGGCAGGCTGAGGAGGCTGAGGCAGGCTGAGGCTGAGGCTGAGGCAGGCTGAGGCTGAGGCTGTGACTGTGACTGCCGTTGCCACTGCGACTGTCATCGCGAATTGACTACGACTGCGAGAACAGCAGAATTCTACAACTGGATTCTCATCTGAATCTTAAGGGGAATGCTTCCAGATATGCTCCTACACATCGCTGTTAGGTTGCTTTGCCGGGATAATACACGCAGGATTCCCGGGAAACGGGTTGTCGTTTTTTTACCTAACAGCGAAGACTGATAGGTTTCTAGTTGACTCAAAAGAGCTCACAGATCACTCCACAGGGGGGTCCGGG